AGCAGGACCCTCTCCCAATCGATCCTCCCCATTCTGGCCAATGCTGCCTGCGGAACGGAGATGGCAGTATTGGAAAGCTCAGTCTAGCCAGGTTGTCTCAAGTGGGGTCTCCACCAAAAAACGGTCTTCAGGACAGAGGAAGATGCTGGCACTACCCTCTCCAACTGCTGCAAGTCTCTGCTCAGCTTCCAACAAGTCTCCCACTCACTCCGTGTTGGATAGCTCCCATTACTGCCAAGATGGCTGATAAAACACTTTCCCTAAAACCACCCAGCCTCATGCTCCTACGTTATTGAATCTTCTTTATGTCCCCCCCACTGTATTAGAAATTACTAAGTTTTCTGAAGAAAACCTACTCAAGCTTTAAACACAAGGAGAAACATAGAAGTTTTAATTTCTCATCCATAATCTCCACATCCAGTCTCCCTGATCAGCTTAGCACAGAAGCTTTTGAGAGCCAAGAACACACTCTCTTCATGCAAAGCCCTCTGAATGTTTACAGAGAGGCATAAACAACTCTTCCAGGAGCTCTTTTCTGAAATAGTAAAAAAAATATATATATATATATCCGAAACAGTGGGAAAAGTGATTTCTAAAAATATGTGTATTCTATAAGAGATAATGGAATGGTGACATGTTCAGAACACAATGAACTAGAGGTGCACTGGCTACCATTCAGCCATCATCACCCTGGCCACATTAAAGCAGCCTCATCTCTGAACTGTCCTGTTCCCCCCACAAGCCTATTTAGTATCCGAGCTGCAAATCATCAAGCATTTCCTTCATTTAGGAACACATGCAAACTGGGCTCTTTCTGAACTCATTTCCCTTTATACTTAAGCCCATTATGTCATCTGTCATTTCTGATGGGCAAATGAGATCAGGCTAGCCCTGCTGGATGTGCTCATTCCAGCTACTCAAGCACATTTCACATCCCTGACAAGATGAGCCATTCCTCATAACAGGAAAGGAGAGTGATCATTGTGACAGCCCTGCTCTACTGCACGGACAGACATTTTACTCCAAATACTCCCAGGGGAG